TGGCCGCCCCACCGCCCGGGGTCTGGATCACAGTACTGTAAAGCTCACAATCAACCCCGGCCTGGCGCCTTCACTGGAGGGGAGAGCGCGGTCCTCGGCGGCGGGGCCCGGCCAGAACTGAATGTTGACCCTGCACCGGGGGGAGATTAGACCCGAGGGCAACACATGAGAGTCAAACTTGCGCATTAGTAGTTTTCACAGCTTGCGTGCCTAAGGGGTGACAGGCTGTACGATGGGCACTTGACACTAACAAGGGCGGTAGAGGCTTTAAGTAAGGAGTGGGAGCTAGAATCAGAAAGATGGGAGTGTGAGTCCTGACATCGCCACTTAAAAGTGGTGTGACTGAGCCTCTGTCAAATGAGGCTTAATGGGCCATTGAATAGGGTGGTCGTGATAATCAAAGTGAGTAAGGACTTAGTGCAGTGGTTCTCAACCTTGGCTGCACATTAGAATCACCTGGGAATCTTTTTAAAATCCTGATTTCTGGGCCTCGTCCTCCGGAAATTCTGTTTCTTTGTCATGGGGTAGGGCCACAACATTAGTAACAAAGAGACAGAATTTCTGGAGGATGAGGGCCAGAAATCAGGATTTTAAAAAGATTCCCAGGTGATTCTAATGTGCAGCCAAGGTTGAGAACCACTGGCTTAGTGGTAGGTACTATTCGTTGACTATTATACCAGTACAGTAACTCATTAAATGCTTGCAGTTCTATGAGACAAGTGTCATTTTATATTTGAAGAATCTAAGGCCCAAAGCCTCTTACCTAGTAAATGGCTGGCTGAGTCAATACCATCTCTGTAAGTCCAGTAATTGCCCAGACCTATAAGCTAATAAAGGATGAAGGAGCAACTATTTATTCTGATAGTACATATGTCTTAGTATAGTCAACGACTTTGAAATGCTTTAGAAATAACGATTTTCTGAGCACTTCAGGAACCCCTATAAAATGGCAAATTAAAGAATCTTTGGGTGCTTTGCCATTACTAAGGAGATGGCCATAGTCAAAGTGGACTCCAGCCAATATTCTTCATGGTATTACCCACAATAGCAGAGATAAATTGGCAATGGTACTGAACCAACATTGGTGGCATAATTTTTAGGGGTATTGCCAAGGATGTATATCCTATCCGCCAATGACTAGATCCTGGCAAAATTATAAAGGTAGATTGTGGACTGGAGCCCAAAGTGTCGGGGTTCTTTTGAACACCTTTCAATGGAATATGAGTACAGTTGATCCTTGAACAACAAGGGTTTGAACTGTGCAGGTCCGCTTATAGGCTGATTTTTTCCAATAAATACTATACATGTATTTTCTCATAATTTTAACTGTTTCTTTTATGTAGCTTACTTTAGTGTAAGTATACAGCATATAATACATATAACATACAAAATATGTGTTAATCCTGCTTATATTATTGGTAAGGCTCTGGTCAATAGTTGACTATTAGCAGTAAAGTTTTGGGGAAGTTAAAAGTTATGCAGGGAACCCCGCCAGTGTTGCTCAGTTTGAACATCAACCTATGACCCAGGAGGTCATGGTTTGATTCTGGTTAGGGCCCATGCCAGGGTTGCAGGCACCATCCCCAGTGTGGGGCTTGCAGGAGGCAGCCGATCAATGATTCTCTCTCATCATTGATGTTTCTCTCTCTCTCAAATCAATAAAAAAACATTAAATATATATATTTTAAATTATACAGTTATTTTTCAACTGTGCGGGGTGGGTAGGGGGGTCTTCTGCTCTTTGCCTTATGGTTAAACTTCAAAAACCCAATTAAGATCTCCTTCCTCTAAATAGACAGCTTTTTGCTCTCCTCACCATATGTCTAATGTGACACAGGCCTGAGAGACGGTTTAGACTGGACCTGCCCACTAATGGGGCAAGGAAGATTGACCCAAAAGAAGGGAAGACATTGAATCTAGAAAACAAAACCAAAAGAGAGCTGATAAAATGAGAGAGGATGATGGATGATTCAGGTGCAGGGATTACCCTCAGACAGGAGAAACATGGGGATTTCTCATAGAGCAGAAGAAAGATAGGTACCAATAAAGATCCTTTATTCAGGTGAGTGGGTTAAATTGATTAAATTAACATGTTGATTCAATTCAGGTTTCCTGGTTTTCATTTATGTTAATCGAAGTGTGGTCCACAGACTACCTTTATCAGAATAGCCTGAGGTATATGTTTTATGAAGAATCCCAGCTCCCATTGCCCATCGAATAAGATTTAGGAAGTCTGGTTTGGCACCCAGAATCTGATTTTTAAGACCATACCACCCCCAAGTAATGCTGATGCACAATAATGATTGAGAACCACTCCTTTCTTTTCCCTGACAAATATCAAGGACAATACAGTTCTTCCCCACCTACTGCAGAAAATCATCCTTCTCCCTGCCGCCCAGCAGCCAGGGCATGGGCATGCGGCCTAGGTTCACACATTTGGATGCTCCCATCTGTGACTTTTACTCTTTTTGTTGTTGTTGTTCATCCTCACCTGAGGATATTTTTCTATTAATTTTTAAGAGAGAGTGGAAGAGAGGAGGAGAAACAGAGAGAGAGAAACATCAATGTGAGAGAGACACATCGATTGGTTAGGGCCAGGGATTGAGCCTGCAACCTTGACTCGAATCAAATCCAGGACCCTTCAGTCCATGGGTTGACACTCTAACCACGGAGAAAAACTGGCCAGGGCTATGACTTTACTCTTAAGATTTAAAGCAGGAACAGTTCAGAACTTTGTTACTCGAAGCATATTCTGGGTAGCATCGCCCAGAGCTTATTAGAAATGCAGAATCTTAGGCCCCACTCAGACCTAACTAATCTGCATTTTTAATTGATTTTTAGAGAGAGGAAGGAGAAAGAAACATCAATGTGAGAGAGAAACATCAATTGATTGCCCAAGCAGGGATCAAACTCAAAACCTGGGTATGTTCACTGACTGGGAATCGACCCACCACCTTTGGGTGTACAGGATGGTGCTCCAACCAATGGAGCCATAGCAGTCAGGGCCTGCAGTTTAACAAAATCCCAGGTGTTTCATAGGCACATTAAAGTACTGGCTTAGAACACATTCATAGTGGTGGAGTTGAGAGTTCAGCAGTAGCAATGGCCAATGGAACAAGCGGATATAGTCTCACCGACTGATTCCTTTTGTTGTCATGTTTTTTAGAGAGAGAGGAGAAATATTGATTTGTTGTTCCACTTATTTATGCACTCATTGGTTGATTCTAGTATGTGCCCTGACCAGGGATCAAACCCCCAACATTGGCATATTGTGATGATGCTCTAACCAACTGAGTTACCTGGCTAGGTCACCAACTGGTTTTTAATGGCATGACCTTAGCCATGGGTCCTGCTCCCCAGCTTTCCTTGGTTCTTGCCTTTCTTGGTCAGCTAGTCACACTTAATGCTGTGTAATAAGCAATCACAAAATCTCAGTGATCTATAATAAAAAGCACTACTTCTTGCCTTTGCACCAGCTGGTTGTCTGGGGATAGCTGTTTCAGGCTACAGTGTACGAGTTGGCTGTGGTGCCTTGACTCCACCTTGTCTTTCATTATTTTGGGACCAGGTTACCTTAAGAATGCTTCTTCCAGCCCTAACCGGTTTGGCTCAGTGGATAGATCATCGGCCTTTGGACTGAAGGGTCCCAGGTTCCATTCCGGTCAAGGGCATGTACCTTGGTTGTGGGCACATCCCCAGTGGGGGGAGCGGGGTGCAGGAGGCAGCTGATCGATGATTCTAACTCTCTATCCCTCTCCCTTCCTCTCTGTAAAAAAATAAATAAAATATATTTAAGAAGCTCCATAAGTAGAAACTTCCACCCACAATTCATTGGCCAAAGCAAATCACATGGGCCACTCAGCCATTAAATAAAAAAATGAAACTTTACCATTTGCGACAGCATGGATAAACCTAGAGGGTATTATGCTAGATGAGTAAGTTAGCCAGATAAAGATAAATACCATATGTTTCCTTTATATATGGAATCTAAAGAATAAAATAAATGAACAAATGAAATTGAAACAGGCTCAGATACAGGAAGTGTCTGATAGTTGAGAGGAGGAGGATTCAGGGACTAGGTGAAAAAAGTGAAGCAATTAAGATGTACAAATTAGTAGTTACAATTTGGTCTTGTGGATATAAAATACAGCATAGGGAATACAGTCAATAATACTGTAATAACTATGTTTGGTGCCAGGTGGGTACTGGAAATACCGGGGTGAACACTTTGTAAAGTATATAGCTGTCTAACCACTGTGTTGTACACCTGAAACTAATACAAAATAATATTGAATGTAAACTATAATTTAAAAAAGACTAAAAAGTGATATAATCCTTTTCTGATTGAGAAGGTAAAAAAGAAATCCAATGATCCAATTGAACATATTTCCCCCATGAAGGTTGATAGAGGAGAGGGAATAAATTTACTGAATGAACCAAGCCTGCGTGGCTCAGTGGTTGAATGTCTACCTATGAACCAGAAGGTCAAGGTTTAATTCCCTGTCAGGGCACATGCCTAAGTTACGGGCTTGATCCCCAGGGTGGGGTGTGCAGGAGGCAGCCAATCAATGACTCTCTTTCATCATTGGTGTTTCTAGCTCTCTCTCTCCCTCCCTCTCCCTTCCTCTCTGAAATCAATAAATATGTTTTTTTTTAATTTTACTGAATGATAAGCGTAACGTAAGATACCACCCCTTTTCCAAGCCTGGTATCCAGCTCTCCCACTGGTTCTAGGAGCCCTACAATATCTCTCTAGTTACTAATACAATATTGCTGAAGCTAGCAAGAGTCAGTTTCTGTTGACTGAAACCA